TCTATAAATATTGTAGCCTCTTTTTATGAAGTTCTAAGGAATTTCAAAAATATCCAAAAGTTCATTCCCAAAACCCAATGAGACAGAAATAGTCCTCTATAACTGAGAGCACATCTATATTGGATCTTCTGGAAATGACTAGTACAGGTGAAATAGGATCATTAGGGGTTGGGTGGATGTGTGATATGCCATTTGCTGTGTTCCCCATATTAATAAGTGAGCCACTTCATGATATTGGCAAACTGAACATTTCCTCTGCCCCTTGGTTGAAGTGCCGCACCACTTAAAAAGAAAAAAATATTTTCTTTGATTTTTCTGAAAGGCCACCCATGGACTTGGCTATGGGCAAATGCTTTAAGATAAACTACAGACCTGTGCTTTAAGATAAACTACAGGGGGGGGAAATACTCCCCCCCCCTTTTATTTAAGTGATGCAGTGCCTCAGCAATAGTGTACTATTATTCTACCAATTCAACCTACTTCATTTTCCCTGCCCTTCTGCCAAGGAGCAGAGGAACTGTTCAATTTACTGACATCCTGAATAGGCTGTCTTATTAAGCCACCTGATATTGTGAAGTGGCTGAATGGGCAAAGTTCAAACTGGAAGGAACCTTGACAACTGGAAAGGCTCACTTTTGGGCCATTCTCCATGATAACACACACTGGAAACAGACCAGAGTGATCCTATTTGCAACGAAAAAGTAGAAGCCCTTGACAAGGGTGAAGATAGGACTGTTCTGGGGTGGTTTGGTGTGTTCCAGCGATTATATCATGTGACTACTGAAAAAAAAGAGCAAACCAAACTGCCCCCACAGTGGACCAAACAGTGGGACAAACCCACGCCTGATTGAGCCCTTAATCAGCTTATTAATATGAATTTCTTCATTAGCCTTCCTGATATTCCAATATGCATTGTTACTGGAAAGCTTAAAGATTTAGCTGCTTGATAGCTTGTAAACGTTTTCTAGATGGCTTTTAAAAAATCATAGCTTCTACATAATGATATACAGTTGTGTTCAAAATTATTCACTTCCTGATATTCCAATATGCATTGTTACTGGAAAGCTTAAAGATTTAGCTGCTTGATAGCACCCCTGTTCTCTATAGCACAAACCTATTGTCTTTTTAAAACAATTTTTCAAGGATCCAGCTTTTGTTCTTTTTCATAAGACAAACAAAATTCCTTGAGCCCATCAGGGAATATCAAATATCCATCCAAACAAAACAAAATGCTTTTTGGATTTTTTCCATCTCTCAGAGTCTGCACAGACTCTGCTTAACCTTATTTTCTCACAAACAGCATCTTTGCAACAGAGCCAAAATCTGAGGCACAAATACTATAATGGATCCCATGAGAGTAAAATATAATAACAGTAAGGGGTGTTTCATGTCCCTAAGCATAGGAAGAATCTATAACAGCTGCAAACCCAACTTATACTTTTAATTGATCACCTTATGAGCAATTGTTGGTTCAGGATGCAATCCAACATTTCAGATTCAAATATCAGCTTAAATCCCAGCAATCAGTTTTATTGTGCATGCAATGTACCTTCTCAAAAAGTGCTACATAAGCACATTCTGTGCAGATATATTTTACTAACTGATTCTCTCTTCTGTTTTTGAGGAATCTGAAATCCTGTATCTTTCATGCACCAAAAGAACATTTAATAAACATGTTTATGACCTAACTAAACATTTGAAGCTTGAACATCTATTTCATTTTCACACCCAATCCCTATTTAGACATTAGAGTTTGAACTAAGGGTTGAAGTTTAGTAAAGATGGTTGTGTGTATGGAAGTTTTACCGACAGATCCCCACCTCACTCAGAAGATACGGTGACCACCCCTCGCCAGAAGTCACTTCGTGGCCTCCTTAGTGGTTGTGTCCCACAAGTTAGGAAGAGTTGAGATTTGAGTTGTATGGCATTTGCCAGGTCTAAAGCATGTTTCTTCAAGAATTAGAAGAGATTCAATTTTAGGGGCTGGTTAATTTGATATCACTCATTCAAACAATTTGTTCAAGTGGAATAGTGAAGAAATTGACTTGCAGCTTTTGGGTTCTGATGGTTCTTTGCCTGGTTTCAATACACTGATTACTTTTGTCTTCTGCAATAGTTTTGGAATTTGTTTGCTCACCCAGCAGTTCTTAGAATTGAAGGAGCCCTTCCTTTGTGTTTTGCCCAAAATGTTTAATTTGTTTGATTTTTAAATGATTGAGGCTTGCCACTTTGCCATTCCTACATCTTCTTCAGGATTCCTCTGGTTTTGCCAATATGAAGGGATTAGGAAGTTCACTGGATTCATTCTGAATATCCTTTTGATGTTATTTTTATTATGCATTGGATGGTCTTCCCTGCCAGGAACAGTTGGTATGCTGTTTGGTTGGGGGTTATATTTGCATACAGTGTCCTTTTGTTTGGATCATTGTTCAGTCTTTTCAGTGGTCTCCAAGCTTTCCAGCTGCTTCTTGTTATAGCTCTGTTATAGTGCCATCCATCAAACTCCTTTTGTTTCTGCAAGAGTCAAGATCATATTTCTCCCAGATTTTATTGTATCTTCACTAAAAGGATTTTCTGTGAAATATGAAATATATTCTAAGTATTGGATGTGTGTGTCTAGAGTGAGACCTATAGAGAGACACACAAACTAGTTTGGCAGTTCAGTGCAGATTGGGCCCACAGGTGTTGCATGGGCACACCAGATTCCCCACCCCACCTCCTCCCATGGGTGCCCACTCACAGTAGGAGGTAGGATAGGGAAGCCCAGGGTGCTGCCTTTAAGTGGGCAGGATATGGAAGCTTCGGGGGGCTGCCTCTGAGTGGGCAGTGGAGGGAGACCTGGGGGGGTTGTATCTGAGTGGGCAGGGTTGGGAAGTCCTGGTGGCTATATGTGAGTGGGTACCCACAGAAGGGGTCTGGGTGCGGAATCCAGGGCACCCATGCAATGCCTCTGGGCCCAGTCTGCTGAGCTGCGCTGAACAACTGAACCACAGTTTGTGCCCATCTCAACTACACGTGCAGCTAATTCAGTCACCAAGATTTCTGTATTGGCCTCTTCAGTGAAGTCTGTTGAGTGGACTGTAATACTTGTTCTTACAAAAATGGCACTTCCGTATTGGTTGTAAGGCCTCTCAACAACTGGAAACATCCCAGAAACTTTTGTTTGATGTTGATCAGTTCATCTGTGAGTTTCTTGGACATTAGACATCGCTTTTCTGTTTGTGGCAAAGTGAAGTTAAGAGTTCTCCTTTAGATGAAGATATGCCATCCATGTTAATAAAAAAGTATTGTCATTTGTGATCCTAAAAAGAACCATTGGGTCATTTTGCTCATCAGCAATTTTACCATGTAACACTTCTGGAAAAGAAGGATTGGCTGGCTGCATGCTATTGCCCAGAGGATGCTGAAGTATACTTGCAATGCTTTTCCACTTTTCAGGGAAGCTCTCTTCTATTTCACCCTACATGCCTGATGTATTAAGCATGCATTTTTGAAAGGTGTGCATGAGCAAAGGGGAAAAGCTCTTAAGAGAAGGATATACTCATTTCATATAAGTGTGATCCAACTATGTATGGAATGCCTTTTTCCTGCCAACTCTTCAGTGGTGTAGCCAGTCTTTTTCTACTATAATGTCCATTTTTTGTTGTTGTTTAGCCATGTTCTACTCTTCGTGATCCCATGGACCAGAGCACGCCAGACCCTCCTGTCTTCCACTGCCTCCTGGAGTTTGGTCAAATTCACATTGGTAGCTTTGATTACATTGTCCAACCATCTCATCCTCTGTCGTCCCCTTCCCCTCTTGCCCTCACACTTTCCCAACATCAGGGCCTTTTCCAGGGAGTCTTCTCATGAGATGGCCAAAGTATTGGAGCCTCAGCTTCAGGATCTGTCCTTCCAGTGAGTACTCAGGGTTGATTTCCTTTAGAATAGATAGGTTTGTTCTCCTTGCAGTCCAGGGGACTCTCAAGAGCTTCCTCCAGCACCACAATTCAAAAGCATCAATTCTTCGGTAGTCAGCTTTCTTTATGGTCCAGCTCTCATTTCCATATATCACTACCTTGCTAGCGTGTGAAGTGAGTACAATTGTATGGTAGTTGGAGCATTCTTTGGCACTGCCCTTCTTTGGGATTGGGATGTACTGTAGACTGATCTTTTCCAATCCTCTGGCCACTGTTGAGTTTTCTAAACTTGCTGGCATATTGAGTGTAGCACCTTAACAGTGTCATCTTTTAAGATTTTTAGCATGTATACATTACCAAAACAACAATGTCTGTGTTGGCTTGGGCATGGTGTAAAAATGGCTGATGGTTGGATTCCAAAAGATCTTCTGTATGGAGAATTAGCGCGGGGAAAGTGCCCCAGAGGGAGACCACAGCTGTGATGCAAGGATATCTGCAAGCAGGATCTGAAGGCCTTAGGAATGGACCTCAACAGATGGGAAACCTTGACATCCAAATGTTCAGCCTGAAGACAGGCAGTGCATCATGGCCTCTCCCAATTTGAAGAGATACTAGTCCGGTAGGCAGAGGCAAAGAGGCAGTCTGAAAACCAGCCAAATCAGGGAGCTGGACAGAGGGCAGATTGTATTTGTCTTCAGTGTAGAAGGGATTGTCACTCTCGTATTGGCCTTCTCAGCCACACTAGATGCTGTTCCAAGACCTCTATTCAGAGCATGTTGCCATAGTCTCTCAAGACTGAAGGATGCCTAATCCTAAAGTCCTAACAGTACAAATATTTAGCACTCCATAAAAAGTTGGTTTTTATTGAAGACAAAGGATTAAAGGAATTTTATGGGAAGATTTGTGTCTTGGATGGATAAAAGTTGTGACTGGGAGCACTTGCTGTCAACACTGGCATAAATGTAAGCCACAGCTTTGCTTGACTGCAACAGCCAAGTGACAAGAGTTTTCATGACAACAGATGCAACGGCGCCCTCCTTCTTTCCAGAATTAAAGCTGGAGAAACAGTTTCCAGCCGCTCAGTTATTGTTATGCAGCTGTAAGTATGAAGAGAGAATTGCTATCTTCTGCAGATTCATCTTGCTTTATGAGTGCTGATTAATTGGACTTAGCAATGCCTGCCAGCTAAGTAAGTATTACAATCACTTTGAATGAATATGGAAAGAATACTTAAGCTGTCAAGACTGCTATGCACTGCGTACTTTAAACTGCTTGAAATAAGAATTAAGAGACACTGTATGTTTGGGATGTTTTTCATTCATGTGATGTTTATGATAGTGGGGAGAGGGAAGGAGGGAAGCTATATGATGGATGCCAAAATCTTTCCTCATGTTTAGGATTTTATCTATGCTATATTAACCCCTATACAGTATATGTCAAAGTAGTCCTTTGTTTGCTTCCAGCCATCCCTCCCATGCAGCCAATTAGTTGGTACAGAAATAGTAAATATGTTAAAATATTAAATACAGTAGCTGTATTACAGGTGTTTATTTGCAAACTGAACCATTTTATGAATGCATCTTAAAATGTAAGGTGTGTAGATTAGCCCTTTCTTTCTGATAGAACCTTCTCTGTTATTAAACAACGTAGCTCATACAGAGAACAGAAGGGAGGACTGGATAGTTTTCAGTAACACTGCTAACAATTTTATAGGTTCTAGCCAACAAAATAGCAAAGATTGTCTTAGCTATAGCTTTTCAGAGTCAACCTCGTCTCTGTTCCCTGCTGCATTTTCTGCCTACCTGTGTGAAAAATTGGAGAAGATGAATAGCTCTAATATATATTTTAGATGAAGTTGTTTTGTGTTAACAGAAGATCCTAGCTATTCACTTTGGGGAGAAGCAAGGGTAGGTGAATGAGGGTTTGGGGGGAAACTAAAAGGATTGTTTATAGAAACATATTTTCTGTTGAGCATAACATGCATTTGTAGGGAAAAACAAAATTAATGAGGAACAATATTTCTTTCTCTAAAATAATGTTTTTAGCCTAGATCCATTGTAGCACTCACTAGGAATCTTTTACAACAACAAAAAAATCTATTCACAAGGGTAAAACATGTCCATATATATCTGTAAAAATATTTGTCACTAAAGTTAGCAAGTGTTAAATTAAGGAATACTTTTGTCACATAGATGCATGGCTATGATCTCATAGGTAAACATATAAGCATGAAAATATTTGTTATTATTTTTGGATTTAGATGGCAAGGGGTTGTGTCTCTCAAGCCAAAACCTTTCTTTAAATGTACATGTTTACCATTGGATTTCCCCTCTCCAATTTGCTCTTGGTTAAGGCAACTACAGCTTCTCAAGTTACAGATAGCTCTATTTGTTGAAAATGTGAGGGATTCAGCCTCCCCACCCCTCTCCAGTTTGAATAAATGAGAGACAGAAACAGAGAGTTGCATTGAGGTTCTCATTCACTAATGTATGTATGAATCCATATATTTCAAGGTACACTGAAACCCGAGCAACTGGTGGTGTATTCACTAGCCTGCCCTCCATAGCACTCACCTCACAGATTATTTCCTGCACACTATGGAGAATTTCTCATTTTCTGAGAATGACAGCTATGAGTCTGGACAGCTTTTATTTCAGAATTTTCACAATTCGACAAACACTTCTGCTCTTCCTGAAAGACAACCAAGAGATGAACAGCTAGCTCAAGTAGAGATTGCTGTGCTAGGAGTCATATTTATGGCAGCATCTGTGGGCAACTTCATTCTCATCCTAGTGTTATGGAAGAGACGAATGAAGCTGTCTCAGATATACGTTTTTTTGCTTCACCTGAGCCTAGCAGACCTGATGGTTGCGTTCTTTCAAGTTCTTCCTCAGCTTTTTTGGAAAATCACAGATGTTTTCATGGGTCCAGATGTCCTGTGCAGGACCATCAGTTATCTCCAGCTATTCAGCATGTTTGCATCCACTTACATGGTCATGGTTATGGCAACAGACAGATTCCAAGCAGTGTGCTACCCCATGACCACCTTCCAGAAGAATGGGGCCCTTTGGAATGTCTCTGTCTGCATCAGCTGGCTGGTATCTTTGGTCTTTAGCTTACCTCAGGTCTTCATCTTTCAGAAGAGAGAGGTATTGCCAGGCATATTTGACTGTCAAGCTGAGTTCATTGAACCCTGGGGCACCAAGATGTATGTGACTTGGATTTCTATAGCCATATTCTTCGTTCCTGCAGCTATCCTTACTGTATACCATGTTAGAATATGCAGAGCAGTCCAAATGAATATGCACTGGAAAAAACACAATGAATTTGAAGTCACAAATCAGAAGCAAACATTGCCATCGTTGCCAAGCAATGTGAACTGTATGTCAAAGACCATGATCAAGACTATAAAGATGACAGTGGTGATCGTTGTTGCTTATGTCTTCTGCTGGTCACCTTTCTTTATTGCACAATTGTGGACTGCATGGCACCCCAGTGATGCTAGAACTGAAGGTAAGATAACATTCATCCTGCAGAATGCTTCTGTACTGGAATAAATTTATATTACATCTCAAATGAGTAATGCATATGTAAGTGTGGAGTAATATAAAGCACTCTCTGCATGTGTGTGTGTGTGTGTGTGTGTAATTTTGGTCAGTATGTATATGCTTCTCTTCAAGGGGGAACAAATATTAAAAGTTATTTTTCTTCTGGTGAAAATTGCTAATTTGAACAGAAATGCTGATAGCATTTCGCTGATAATAAAGAAAACCAGAAAAAAACCAAGATTTTGCAGTTAGCAAAGCAAGTAGAAAATCAGTTTCCATGGGATACAGACATCATGTGCATTCCAGTCATAAATGAAAAGTAATTAAATTATAAAATACTTTGATCGAATTAACAAGAAGTTTTGTTATGATCTGGCATTTATATAACACAACTGTATTTATACATTGAACTAATGAAGTACTGAAGTACTTTCTTGAGAGCTTGGAAATTACTACTTACAAACAGCAAGTCACCCATAATTAATTCCATTTTCAATCATGAAGGTGTCAGCATGTTACATTACTTTGTAACTTGACAAGGGATAATTTCACTCCTGGAATAGTTAAGTTGCCTCTATAGTTACAGGACTGTGTTCTCCCTAAGTGATGGGAGGGGACCATCATGTGGCTGACTCCTGCTGTACATCTTGCTGCCATTTTCCATTCTGTTGTGGATGCTGAGGCAGTGGTAAAATCAGTGGGAGGATAATGGGGCAAGTAGTTTTTGGCATGCAGATGTTTTCAAAGGTAACTTAAAAGCTACATATCATGAGAAATAAGGAAATGAGTTAATTGTAATTAGAACAGATAATCATTTTGGTTAGTTTTGAAAAATAAACAGCCAAGTTCTTATTTTCTCTGACATAGGATTTTTAAATTTTTTAAATAAAACCATCATCATGAATGGCTTGCACCTAGAGGATTGCTACTCTGTTTTATTCATTAAGGAATTGTGTTTTATGAGTATCTGGAGCGGATGAAAATACTAATGCCCTTCACATTTTGAGACATTTTCCACTAACTGTAAAAACAGTCCATAGAGTGTATATGACAAACTACAATGAAATGGCCAGTGATCTGATTCCAAGGTATCCAGAATGAATTTTGAAACTATGTCAGAATAGCTGGGAAACCTCCATCAAATGTATGGCAGAACCATTGGTGAAAAAGCAATGGCATCACAAATTATCATTTTTTTCAGTATATTTATCTGTGAGTTGTGATTGATTTGTAAATCCTTTTTCTTTCAGGTCCAGTAATAGCCATCCTTATGCTCTTAGGGAATCTTAATAGCTGTGTCAATCCATGGATTTATATGTATTTTTGTGGTCATATACCACATTGTTCAAAACACAAACTGAACAACACAGCAGCCCATGAAGATTCTACGACTACAGGTAGCATCAACTTGGGAGATAAAGATTCTGAAGATAATGTCACCCCTGTATAACTGACTATATAGCAACTCTAAACTGCTTTGTAGTTTGTTCTTGCTACCAGAAGTAGCAAAGGTTGTTTTCAACATTTATGTATTTTTGAATTATTATTTTAAAGCAAAGTTTACCCAATGTAAATAGCTTACTCCAAAAGGATATCACATGCACACTCTATCTTCAAAGTTGAGAGGTTGTTTGTTTTATTGCAATGCCAGACTCCAACAATTTACAAAGGTACATCTTAAATTGCATGTATTTGCAGACTCTTGTTAAATCTTTATTCTCTTCTAGCAAGTTTGATGAATCTAACATAGACAATAAGATAATTATATATCTGAACTCTCCTGAGGTGTTAATTGCTGACCACAGAACCAAGTAAATTACAAAAGAAGGTGTGTGTGGGGGGGGAAATAACAGACAAGAAATGAAGATAGCAAAGAAATGCTGGCTTTCCTTGTATAATTTCCTCATAACAAAGAAAATCAAGTACTTAAAGCCTTCTAGGGTTCATTTGCAAACATTGTTAACCTCCCTTTCCAAAAGGACTGCTTTAGGTCTAAGGAAGATGTTTATTAAGCCTGTACATATTTTCCGTGATTTGACCCTATAGGGACGAGTGCCCAGGTTTTTCATTCTATAAGTAGAAAGATGATGCACAAATATTTATGTCATTGTATTTCCTTTAAACAAAGCCACATAGCCAATTCTGTCTAATTCACATGGTCACAGAAATTGTACACTCATTCTGCAGATGTCTCTAAGCATTCCCATCTGGAGTTCTATATGAGGCAGTTGGAGAAACAGTGACTGTAAGCCATGCTAATATTTTGTCTTGCATAAATTATCAAAGCAAACTTTGAACTTCTTCTGGGTATGGAAAAAATAATGGGACAAAGCCTCTAGATATGGATCACTGGAGAAAGGAGTAATTTCAGGTTGGTATATGTATGATGAAAATAGGATGAAGGACTGCTAAGAAAAGAAGATCAAAGGAACTGAGGGGGAACTTATATACATGATGTACTCAATTAGGGATAGGAATTCATATCTACATATGTAGGCTGGTATTCTGTTGCCAATCCCAGGTAGAGTAGAGCCATAGAATCACTTGTTAAACAATAAATTAACATTCATGTAAATTCCATTGAGTCAATGGATCTACTCTTATTGGGACCGTAGCATAGTACGTAACTGGAATTTGTGAGAATCTTAGACTAATCAATGAGAGAACAAAAATCACAAACAAAAACAAGACACACAAGGGAAAACCCAAAATTAAAACATGGGGAAAGGCTGGGGAATCTATTTGGGGTGTTGGACCAGATATCCACTTGACTGACCCACTGTTGGGGCTTAGCAGGGTAGTGGCTTTTTGAATGATAACACAAATGGGGGAAAGGACAACCAGACTCCCATGATGAGTTTTCAAAGTGTTACCTGATTGGGTGGTAGAAGGCAATTAAAGCCAAGCTGGGCACATTTCCAGCAGCCAAGAACTACTCCCATTTCAAAGAGGCTGGGCTTTACTGGTGGAGAACAGCAGGCAAGGAATCCACTGAAATAGCTTTACAAATTTTTGTTACTAATGCTAGTAATTTCAGCAGGAGGGGACCAAAATATTGGTCTAGGGAGGATAAAAATGGGTTTATCCTCCCTAGAGGATAGTGTGTATGAGATACTTGTTAATGAGCAGTTACTCTAGTGCAGCCCTCCTCAACCTAATGCCCTCTGCATATTATGGAGTACAGCTCCTTCCTCTAGGCTCTCCTGTACTATGTCAAATTCAGGATTTTAAATCTTGTCCAAGACCCATGGTCCAGAATGCTCAGCTGTAAGCCTAATTAGGATGAGTGGTTCAAATATAAATGCTGCCATATGCTCACAATGTATTCTCTAAACTCTGTCAGGCTCTATTTTGTAGTCTTTTCTTCTACTCCTGTTTCTTTAACCTGAAATTCCTCATCACCTCTTTATTCACTCTTCTGACTCCCAACATTTTGCTTCTCCCAGATTTCTTTATGTATCCTTTCCTGTTAGGGACAGACTCCCCGCAGTGTGATATACTGTGACTGGTGAAATGAACCAGTGGGATGATATCTTTTTGGCACAGATGGACCATTTCTTGGTATTAAGACCTGGCTCTCCAAACTGATATTTTGTAAAATTGTGACAGGATTGCCGACAGTCTCCTGGTGGTAAACTCCCACCATGACTCATACATCCCAAGCATCTTCTTACAGCCACTGTCTCTCAGCAACAAGACGATAGTATCATCTGTCTTGTTTCTTACCACTTTATTTGTGTTTTGTAAGGCTAAGGCTATTGGCAAGGCAAAACACACACACACACATTTCCTTTTCATAAAAGAATACTCGAAATAAATTCTATCAATCCTTTGGTGCCTTTGTTTAGAGTGAAGTTTGAGAATGGCTTTCAACATATAAATCTGCCTTTGATTGAGAAAGATGAGCAGTCCCACTTATTACTGCCCAAATCAAGTTTGGGAATGATGTACAAGCCTGGGATAGTACAATTTGGCGATGCTCACCTTTACTGTATTTGCTTTAACCTGTAGTTGCAGGTAATATGGGACTGGTTTGTATTTCTGGATAACTCAGTGAGTTAAAGAGGTTGGGAAATTGAGTCTTCACTCTGCTTCCTGGGAGAAGAGCCAGCCTATGTGGCCTTGGGCAAGGTGTACAGTCCCAGGACGTCCCCAGAAGAAGGGAATGGTAACCTACTTTTGAACATTGTATACCTAGAAAACTCTGGAAAGGATCACCATAAGTCAGAATCAAATTGAAGGTGTGTAATATTACTATTATTACATTTCTCTAAATAATACAAATCAGATTCAGCTTACTTACAGTTACAATATTTACAGTACATCAAGGTTGGGCAAAGTTGCAGCACTGCAGATGTTGCTGGACTGCAGCTTCAATCAGTCCTCACTGTCATAGTGAATGATGATTAATGCTGGGAGATGCAGTCCAACAGCATTTCCTCAATCTTCACATGACACTTCAGGGTTTCAGGAAGGAGTCTTTCATAGACCTATGAAGTGGAGCTTGAAACTGGGATCTCTGAACAAAGGTTGTGCTGAAGTATCGCCCCTTTCTGAACTAACATCAGTGTTGAATATAAATAATTATTGCCTGTATGAACAAGATGAGAATCTCTGATGATTCTTTAAGCAGTTTTACAGCAGGCCTACTTGCCATCTAGCTGTGTTATTTCAACATTAAACCAACCATTTTCCCTTTTATGAATGTTTTTTTACTAAACATGCATAATTATATATGACATTTTTACCAGTTTAATATGTACAAGACTAATGTATTATACAGTTACCTTTAATAATGTGGCTTTAACATATTAATATATTTTAGTATATAAACACTGTTATCATCTTCAGAAAAGTGGTGAAATGTACATTTTTAAGAATAAGTTTACTTCTATAATTACGTTTTCCAAAAAGGGAGAAAGCATATCACAGTTTTGATAGCAATCGCGAAATATCAGGTTGTTGTCCTTATCGCAGTTCAGCACATCTTCACTATAGCACTTGTGGTAGTCATCCTTTATCGCTTATTTTTTAAAATATAAAGCAAAATACCACTTAAATGAAAGTTTCAGTATTCCATGATAGTGCCAACATTATATAAAAAAGGAAAGAGATCTTTCAAGCAATGTTGTTTTTCCTTAATTAAAGACTTTGAATTATGATCCAGAAGAAATAAACACTATGTTATCATTTATATTTCATGGTTGGAAATAGGCAATTGTATAACTGCTTAATACTAAATAAATAATTTTTTTAAAAAACCCTCAAAATGTAGTTATGTGATTCATTCTGGAAATGAAATCCTGAGCTGGGCAATACCCTTATGGGATCACTAAAATGCTACAAATAAGGCAAGCATTCAAGTTCTCCAGAGCTCCTCAAGAGAGTTCCAGAGAACTCGGAAGCTTGCCCAATTTCTATAGTTCAATTATTCAATAAAGGCAATGCCCTGGCCAGAATTTTTAAAAAACAATTTTTCTCCCCAAGTGGTCACTCAGGTGAATGAGCATTTACCTTTCCCATCCCATAATCATCTTACGGAATTCTGTTACACCCTCTAAGGTGAGTGGAGCATAGAAGGAGGGAGAAAAAAAAAGCCAGAGCATCTTTTCCGCAGTAGTGTGGAAGCTTACAGTGGAAGAGCAATGGTTTATTAATACAAAGATTCCCCTGATCATAAAAATGCATTGCGCAGATCTATGTACCCATTAGTTCTTAAAAAGTGCCGCTAAAACTCTTAAATGGATCAGTTTAATGAGATAACACTGTGTACTGTTCTCCGCGTCTTGTAAAACTTATTCCAATCCTCATTTGTTTATGCATGGAGAAAAGGGAAAAAAACACAAATCTATTGACTCCAGCTGTGTTAAAGCATTCTCCTTCTCTCCCCTACCTTCTCTTCTGCAAGCCAAAGCGGCTTTGTTTATGAGAGACCTTTTGCTTAGATAATAAAAACCCTGAAACCCTTGGCTTCGATCCAAAGTCCCTGCTGCGTGAGTGGAAAGCACTTCCTCTTGTGCAAAGGAACAGCCAATTTCTCCCCATCGACAGCCCCTTTCCAGCTTCCTTGGAACATATTCTCAGCTGGAGCTAGTTGTCAGGAAGTTGCAGATGGAGGAGAGAATAGGTTAACTCCCTTGGGATATGCCTTTCCATGTACATGCTGATACGTTTGGCTCTAAGCCATTGTCATTACTGCTTTCCATTCCGCAATGATGATTTCTTCAATTGGTAGAACCTAATGCAAAAGAGGCCGATCATTTGACTACTACCCAAGTGAGATTTGCTGTTTTTAGTAGACCCTGTTTCTTTTATAGAACAGGAATTAAAAACACCTCCTCCTCTTGCTCTCAGTTCTTTTCAGACTCTCTTCTCTACCCAGCCTAGAAATCAATTGTCCACTGAAAGAGTGATACTGATTCATTGCAGGGCAGAGCAGGGCCACTTGTTTCCTCCAGATGTTGCATTTCAGCTCCAACCACATTGAGTCCACATCATCAATGGCCAGGAGCCACAGGAGTTGCATTCCAACAACATCTGGAAGGCTGTGTCACCTACATTTGTTGGAATGTCACTTCTGGTTAACTGGTTTCCCACCCATCCCCAACAGGAGACCAGAGCAGTGTGAAATAAATGAGAGTCAGGACAAAACTAGTACTTTTAGAAGAAGAAGCCATGTTAGTCTCTGCTAGCGTATCGGGCAAAAACAAAAGAGAAATAAAGAAGGCAAAAACTTTGTGGCACCTTAAAGACTAACTGCTATATTTTGGCATGAGCTTTTGTGGACAAGTCCACTTCCTGAGAAG